ACAAAATGGTAGTGTTTAGTTCACTTGTCCAAAGATCTTCCACACAAAATGGTAGTGTTTAGTTCACTTGTCCAAAGATCTTCCACACAACATGGGAGTGTTTAGTTCACTTGTCCAAAGATCTTCCACACAACATGGGAGTGTTTAGTTCACTTGTCCAAAGATCTTCCACACAAAATGGTAGTGTTTAGTTCACTTGTCCAAAGATCTTCCACACAACATGGTAGTGTTTAGTTCACTTGTCCAAAGATCTTCCACACAACATTTAGTATATAGGCAGTCACAAGTACCCCCCCCCACACACACACACAACATGGTAGTGTTTAGTTCACTTGTCCAAAGATCTTCCACACAACATTTAGTAGGCAGTCACAAGTAACACCCCCCCCCCACACACACAACATGGTAGTGTTTAGTTCACTTGTCCAAAGATCTTCCACACAACATTTAGTATATAGGCAGTCACAAGTAACCTCCCCACACACACACACAATATGGTAGTGTTTAGTTCACTTGTAAACATCCAGAAATACGTCATCAGAACCTGGGGGCAGTGACAAGAGAATTGTTGTTGTCTCTGGGACCAGTCGCTTGTCAAAGGACAGAGGAAGGAAGGACAGAGGAAGGAAGGACAGAGGAAGGAAGGACAGAGGAAGAAAGGACAGAGGAAGGCACGTCATAGTTTGGCTGTCTGAAATCTTTTCATCTCTTGAGACATTTGAGGAAAGAGAGAAGGAACAGGAAGAGAGACAGGGCAGAGAGGGACGATTGCATCATAGACATGTTTGGAGAGAGAGAAGGGATAGGAGGAGAGAGAGAGCAGAGAGGGACGATGACATCATAGACATGTTTGGAAAGAGAGAAGGAACAGGAAGAGAGAGAGAGCAGAGAAGGACGATGACATCATAGACATGTCCCACTGTGTAAGGCCATGGTATTAAGGTACAAAAATCTCCCACATAAATGCAGACAACGCAGTCCAGCAGCCGCGCCCAACAAGATCACAGTCCTGCCATCAGGTAAGCTCATTCATTAAAGCATCAACAACAAAGTTTAACAAATTTTAAAAAAAGTATACAGTTTTTTCCAGTAGAAAAGGCAGTGGTAAGTAACCGAGGCGACCACACGACACTTAAGTAAACAAACACGTCAGGCTATCGACAAGGACCACGGTCTACACACGGTCTACACACTGTCTACACACGGTCTACACAGGGTCTACACACTGTCTACACACTGTCTACACAGGGTCTACACACTGTCTACACAGGGTCTACACAGGGTCTACACACTGTCTACACACTGTCTACACACGGCCTACACAGGGCCTACACACTGTCTACACACGGTCTACACCTCCTCTCTTA